CTACCTACCTACCTACCTACCTATTGCTGTTCCTACTTTTCTTGGCCGTTATCATGATTGTAAGGTATCCGCCCAACCCTTCGGGCTTCGGGCATCACTTGAAGCATCCAACGCTATGAGGCTTCTACAGGGTTTCCGCTTGCTGCTCGGTTTAGGGTTTAGGGTTGCTCTAGGGTTTTATCCGGGACGTAGGATCACCGGTTTTTCTGCAACAGTTTTGCAGGCCCACAAGCAGCGTCACTGGAGGTTGTCCTAATAAGCGCGGTACACACAGCATACTTTCATTCCCCGGATCATCCAAGGTTGGGCTCTTACGCTTAGCCAAGTTTACAGCTTAAGGTTTATATAGATGCAACTACTCCGGGCCGTTCAAACACAACTGGCTCCTTCTTACAGCAACTGTAGCCCCACGTAACAGAACTCTGTCTTTGTAGATCATTACTCCCTATAGACCTTGAACCCATACTCGTGTGCTTTGTAGCAGAAATTCCTCACCCGAGCCCCGGAAAGCAATGCCCTCCAACTCGATAATATGCGGATTATCAGAATCGAATTTGGGTGTATGTGATGCAATGCTGTCGTTATCTTGGGGACTATAGGGGGATACATGGGGATACCATGACTCAGTATTCCCTAAACCCTGAACCCTAAACCCTAAACCGGCCCATATGCCATCGGTAGCTGTGGTGCCTGCTGCAACGGTTTCGAGGGAAGCCAGCTGCAGAGCCTGTGCCTGACACCATTGAGTCAAAGGTTTAGAGTTCAGGGTTTAGGGTTTAGGGTTTAGAGTTCAGGGTTGTGGGACGTCCTCCCAACAGTTGTTCGACGGGTTTAAGGTAAGGGCAGGGCTGGAAGGGGTCAGCCGACTCCAAGAGAGAGACAAATACCTCCTAACTGAGTTATATATGGGGGCTTCCTAAAATACGGGACCCTAATATAGTAAATAATAGGATCCTTATTATCCGGACCCCAAAATAAGGTGCCCTTAATCTCGGAAACTCCCATATACCTCAGCTCGCAAGATAACAGATTACAAGTATGACGTCAGCTATCGGCCTCTAGTTCTCTAAACCCCTAGGTGTCTATGCATGCCTACCTAGAAGATAATTGCAGGTAGTCGGGGTAGCATGAGCTATGAGTGCGTGTGCAAGGACCCTCAGGCAATCGTAGGCTAATCACGTATAGCCGTGAGCATACCTAGCAAGGATTTAGGGCTAAGGGTGTGGGCTTTGGCCATATAGCTCAGTAACCCGGCATTTGCAACAAGACTGGAACCTAAGGTAAGAAGAGGAATATTCCCAAATAGATCTCAAACAGCGGGGCCGGAATTCTACGGACCTCTACATAATCAAAGCGGCACTCATGCAAGGAATAGCTTGGGCTCTCTTGAAAGCCGGGACTAGATTTCTTACGAACCTGGCTGGGTCCAGTTTGAAAAACTTGTTAAACGCCTTACCGTAATGCTCTAAGGGTTCATCCGTTATATTAAGTTTTGTCTATGCTTTTGGGCCCCAAAACGATGTCCAAGCATTAAGGCTTTTGCTGTTTTGAGCACGCCGATATGAGAGCCAGGAGACTCCGTTTCCGGAGTCGATGCTGCACTGCTGCCCTGCCCAGCTGCCCGGCCCTGCTGCCCTGCCCGGCTCTGATGCCTTGCAGTGCCATGCACTGGGGACAGTTAGTTTTAATGCAATGGGCCTTTGACTCTCGCACCCGGCCTGTCTTTCAGGCTTGCACCTCCCAGTAAGTGGGGACAGGTTTAGGGTTCATAGGGTTTAGGGTAGAGCAGCAAGGGCAGTCGTTCGCCACGGCACGGTGCAGTAATGGTTTGAAAAGCGCGCTGGCAGATCTTGCTCCAGTCACCATGGGCATCAATCGGCTCGCCACATGCGAGACAGCGAAGACTTGTGGTACAACCGAAGCGTGCGCTGACGGCGCTGCTCGGTCGTTCTGTCGTTGCCTCGGGTTTTCGGGGCTAGGCTTGGCCGAACTGTTGCTCCCACCACCCCTAAACCCCTAAACCCCTGAACCCCTAAAGCCCTAAACCCATAAACCCCTAAACCCTTCACGTAGGTGGGGCCGGGTCGATTCCTTGCAGGCAGTGTCGAAACTGCAGCTGCCCCTTATTACAATCCCCTGAGCTTCAACAAATCCCCTACTGTATGAAACCCTTCGGCGAATTCTGGGATCATCTTTCGAAGGCCTTACATACAACCTTCAACAAGAGTGTAAAAACAAAGCGGGGTTTAGGGATTAGGGTTTAGGGACCCTGTTGTACGATTTAGGGGCGACGTATAGAATTGTGACCCCACAACCCACACAACCCTAGGTTTTTGATCCACAAGTGAACCCTGAAACGTTACAAGCCCGTGGTAAGACCCTGAAACTCCCTGTATAAGTCCCTAGCTGTCTGTAAGTCCTAATGGGAACCCAAACCTCATAAACTCATTCTCTTACTGTGCAGTGTAGCGGCCTTAGCTATCCGAATAAGGTTCTGGGGCATGCTGCACCATAGGACTACAGGGGCTTACTATAAGCGGTTTCTCAACTCCTAAATGAAAGTGGCTTCAGGGGATATTCTACTCGAACTACTAGAATTAGATAGCAAGTATAAGGGCATACTAGTAGCGATTATTCCCAGCCCTATTGTATACTAAATGGGGCTTTGGTTTCGCAACCCTGCGCTATATTAAATGGGAGCTCTCTTTTTGAAACCCTATACATCCCTATACCATACTACATGGGTAGTTCTCTAATTATAAGGATGCCGTACTGTATTCGGGACCCAAATAGAAATTGACCCTAACTTAGAGAACTACCCAATATGTTAAACCCTCAACCCAAAACCCTACACCCTGAACCCTAAACCCCTAAACCCCTAAACCCTAAACCCGAAACCCTAAACCCCTAAACCCCTAAACCCTAATCCCTAAACCCTAAACCCCGTCCAACGCAAGCCCTGTCGCACGA